GTCAAAAAGGTGCTAAAGAACATCCAAAAAAAAGAACAAGATGAGAAAAAAAAAATAAATAGTATAAATAGCATATGAAACATATTAGAAAAAGCAATCATTATAGCAGCAAGTAAGCATCTGTCTAAGAAAAAATATACAATACAATGACAAATAGAAGGAATAGTTAAAAGAAGCAATATTAAGAAAAGAACATTGTAGAGCTGCAAAAATTAATTAAATTTGCAAAATTAAAAACAGCCAGAAAGTAACAAAAGAAGAAAGAATTGAAATAAATAAGAAATTATGAAAGATAGAGAAAAAAAAGATGCAAAACTGCCAGAATTATATAAAGAATGGTCAAGCACCTAGATAGAAGATATAAAAGATTGGCAAAACTGTTACAAAAGAAAAAAAAAGAATGAGAACAAGATCAAAAAAGACAAATAGAAAAAAACATAGATAAAAGATACAAAATGATTAAAACAAATCAAGGAAAAATAATAGCTAGTCTTTTAAACAAACCTTACAAGAAGATAATATTTGACAGATTTATTAAACAAAAAGAAGAAATAATGAACTTAACAGTAGAACCAAAGTTAGTTAAGACCAGTATAGCAGAATACTACAAGAAACAATTCAGAAGAAGAGATGCAAAACTAAAAGAAATATCAGAAAGATGGAAAGAAATTTACAAGCCACAAGAACATATTAAAGAGAAATAGTATATAGAAGTTGAAGAAAATATTAAAGAAAAAGAGTAGGAAGAAGTACTGAGAAAACTTAAAACAGGAACAGCTCTAGGCATATCTGGTATAAGCTACATACTAATCAAATGAGCAGAAAAAAAAATACAAGAAATCTTTAGAGCCTTTGCTGATCTTTGTTTAGAAGTAGGAAAGATACTAACCAAGTAAAAAGTCACACAAGTTTATTCAATACCAAAGAACATAAAGTAGGAATATAGCTTAAACAACATCTGTCCAATTGCTCTAATTAAAACATTTAGAAAAGTAGTAACAAAGATGATAACAAAAAGGCTTAACAAGATGTTTATGAAAAGAGAAGTACTCAAAAGACCAAACTATGCAGGCCTACCAGGAAACTCAACAAAGCAGCCAGTGCATATCCTAAACATGATAATAGAAGAAGCAAAAAAAAAGAACAAAGAAATATGAATACTTCTGCAAGATATAAAAAAGGCATTTGACTCAGTTCTACTCAAGAGTCTTGAAATGGTACTGCAAAAAGTTAAAGTTCCTAAAAGAACAATAAAATATATTTTAAATCTTTTTTATAAAAGACAATTAAGAATAATTACAGCTTATGACCTAACAAAAGAAGTAATAGCAAAAGATAGAATAGACCAAGAAGAAGTAATATCATTATTAATATGGTGCCTCTTCTATAATCTACTGTTAGAAAGAATACAAGAAGACAAAAGCCTAGAGTATACAGTTGAGCAACAAATTAAAGAAAGAATGCAATGCAATAATGTCACAAGATTCTGCCAAGCAGCAATCATATATGCAGATGATATAACATAGATTGCAAACAGCAAAGGCCAGCTATTAAAGATCTTAGAAATAGCTGAGAAGTTTTTTAAAATGAATGATATAGAAATTAATAAATCAAAATCAAAGCTGCTAGTAATGAACACAAAGGTCAAGAAAGAAAAAAGAGAAGTAGCTTTTGGCAAAAACAAAGTAAAAGAAGAACCAAAAAACAGAATTGTCTATTTATTAGAAATATGACTGAATAACAGGATACAAAAAGTATTAGTTAAAAAGAAGACTAAAAGAATAGTTATTCAGATGATAAAGAATCTTAAATACAAAAAGATGACAACAAGCCAAATTATATATATAAACAACATAGTAATAATTCCAAAACTAAGCTATATGCTTTAGCTAACTAAAGTCTCAGAAAAGAAAATATATAAAATACATCAACTAATAATATGTTTAGCAAAACAAAAAAGCAATTTACAAAGAATATTAAAAATTGTATAATAGAATATAAAGATCTTGGTGGATATAGAATGCTATAACAAAAACTAGTAATAAAGCAAATAAGCAGCCTGCTATTAAGATTAAACAGACAAGATAGCTTAGGTCAGTTAACAAAGCTAAGATTAACACAAGGTTGTCAAAGAGCAGGCTTGACAAAAGATATTTAAAAATTAGAAAAAATATCAGCTAACAAAGCATATTAAAAAAACAATTTAGCTTGTCTAACAATAATAAAAGCAAGAGAGCTAGGAATAAATATAAGAACTGAAAATAACTTATAGAGAATATTTGAACATGGTACCAAGTTATAAGAGCTGTTAAAAACATGGTTGTGAAAAAAAAGTGAAACAAAAATAAGTGAAACAGGTTTAATTTACTTAAATCAGCTATTTGACACAAAAGGTGAAAAGCTAATTACATAGCAATAATTTAAAAACTACTATAGACAGTCAAGCAAAGAAAAAAAGATGAAATGGTTCAAAGAAATAGAGTTCAAAGTGCTTGAAGAGCCAACAAGTAGAGAAGTTAAAGAACATTTTAAGACAAATAGACATAATACCCAGACAATGAAAATAGAATAAAAGACTATGTCAAAAGATAAAAAGAAGAAAGAATAGATAATATACAGTGCACAAGGCAGCAAACAACTATAAAAAATAGTAAAGAAGAAAAAGAAAAAGGTCTTATTAGAACATTGGCAAATGCAAAGTAAGAAGAATGAAATAGCAACAGAAATTAGCCAATGTAATAGTTGCATAGAAAAAAAAAACAGAAAGAAGGAAGTTGCCAGCAATAAATAAACAATAAGATTAGAGTAATCTCTAATGCATCGATAAAAAAGAATAACAACAAGATTAAGATAGTTATAGACCAGTTTATAGAAAAAGTAGAAACAGAAAAGTTAAAAGATAATGAGCAAAAACTTGAAGAACTAATGATGATAGAAGAGTTAGAAATAGAGATAATCAAGCAACAAAAATTAAAGAAAAATGTTAACCAAGAAATTCTAAAAATATTAAAAAGAAACCTTTTAAGAAACAAAACCAAATATACTATATATATGGATGATGCTGCAAATCTAAAGTCTAAAGAAAAAACACAAGACAGAAACATAGGTATAAAGTGAATCCAAACAAATGAAATGCAAGAGTGGCCAGAAGAAGAAGCATCATTAGAACTAAAAGGATGAACAACATCAACAATAGCAAAACTAGTAGCAATTTGAACAGCAATCTTAACAATATCAAAAGAATGACAAGTAGAAATATATACAGAAAGTAATGCTGCAATAAGAAATATTAGTAGAAATTTAGAGCAAATAGATAGAATAAAAATTCTTAAAAAGAAAAATACAATATAGATAACAAAGATTATAAACCTTATTAGAACAAAGAAAATATAGATAGAGTTAGTGAAAGTTAAAAGGCACAATAAAAACAAGTAGAATAACAAAGCTGATAGTCTTGCAAAGAAGGAAACAATAAGTAAAAAAGTAATACAAATAGAAAAAGTCAGTTGTAAAGAAATAGAGTACTGCCTAGAGTAGGAAAACAGACAAACTAATATACTAGCAAGATTGTTATACAAGTTAGTAATAAATACAAGATTAGAAGCAGAATGAAGAAAAACAAATGCAATTAGAAAGTTGGAGCCAAAAACAGAAATCATGATTTATGACTAGATGCAACTGTGAAAAAGATTAAAAAGAACTAAAAGAGTGCATTGTACAACAAGAAGAAGTAGTACAAAAAGATATGCATTCATAAAGTATATAATAAATAAACTTTTAACCTTAGAAGAACTTAATAGAAGAAGGCCAGATATATATACAATAACAGAATGCCAAGTATGTTAGAACAAAGTTAAAAAAACACAATCACATTTAGCATCATGCAAAGGACAACAAAGCCTTTAGAAACAAATCCAAAAAGTGATGATCGCAACAGCCTGGAAAGGGTTGAAAGAAGAAGAAAAAATATGCATCCCTCTATATATACTATATATAGCACTCTTTGAAAAGGTTAAAGCAGAAGAAATAGAAATAAGAAAAGCCTTAATCAAAAGTCTAATTCTGAAAAAAACACAAGACAGACTAACACAGTTTCTAAGTACAAAGGCAAGACAGTGTTTTATAGAAACAGTAGCAAAGACAGCATGGAACACATTTTATGAACAAGTTTGGAGAATATGGTGTAAAAAGATCAATAAATAGAAGAAGAAAGAAGGCATAACAATCAAAATGAAAAAGAAAGAAGTTAAAAAAAAAAATCTGAAAAAAAAAGAAAAGGTGAATTAGCAAAAGATCAAAAAAGAAAAAAAACAAGCAAAAGAGAAAAAGAATAGAATTAATAAAGAAACTAGAAAAACAATATTGGAGCTTGTTGTGGAAGGGAGAAGATCCTTTTATTACAAACTTTAAGTAGTCAGACAAGTAGCCTATTTCTGTTTGAAATAGTGTAGCAGGTTGCACTTAGGTACTCTTGAGTGACTAGGTAATGCTAGACTTAGTAGTTAGGTAAATTTATGTAATTGCAATAAGTAATTTTAAAAGTTTTAATAAAGTACTAGTATGACTGCTTAAGTTTAAAAAAAAATAAAAATAAATAATTTTACATTGTAAAACAATATTACTAATAGTAATGATATTCTATTAAATTGGATTTCAATTAGATTAAATAATTAAATAATCAATCTAAAACATAGCAGAGAATCCTTAATTATACTTACTTAACTTGTAGGCTTTAAAAGATTTGTAAGCATTATAATTAATTTCAGTTGTTAATCAATTTTGTTATTTGAAAGCTTGTTTAATCAGATGCCTGAAAATATTCTGTACAGCATTATTTTATTATTATTTTTTTTTTGAGTTGATATGTACTGGTATATTACATTTCAATTTAGAATTCTTTATTATGGAATATAATATACATTTCAATAATAATGAAACAAATAAAAGTATCTTAATGTCTTTAAAAAATTTAAACAATATTTTTTTTGTTGATAATTTAGATTCAGAAAGTAAAAAGGATAACAAAAAATTAGCTAAAGAGTTAGGTAGTAAAGAATTTGACAATGAAGAATTAGATAATAGAAAATTGAACAATAAGTTATCTGATAATTATTATGATAATATCAATCTAACTAAATTAAATAAATTAGAGTTTGTAGATATTTCTGATAATTATATTAAAGATAAAATATATAATGAATTAAAAATAGAAATTAAAGAATTTTTTTTGAAAAAAAATGTTTATATCATTCTACTAAAAAGCTTTGCTTTGAACAAATTAGCTATAATCAATTTTTAAACATTGAGTTAAATTCGAAAGCCTAGATAAAAAAATATAAGATATAGTTATTAAGAGCCAACTATTAGCTTTTTAAAAAAAAGAAAATATAAAAAGAGCAACTAGTGATAGTAGATAGCATAGGCATTATAATTATAGTTATAGTAATAATATTGTAATTTGTTATGATACATATTTAGCTCTAGTTAAAATTAGTTATAAATCTTTAGAAAATATAATTAAGCATTTTCATGAACATGGTCTTAAAGAATATATATATAGTAATACTAACAGAGCTTCAAAAAACATGAATTATATTAAGTTGAGCTATGATATAGTATATGATGTATATCAGTTTTAAAAAATTATTCTAATATATATAGTATGCCTTCATCTAAATAACATTTTAGTAAAATTTCTATGTTAATTGTGTTTCTTTTAACTAGCTATACCTATGTCTCAGTATATAATGATTATGTACAAGCTTATAAAAATAAGCATGGAAAGGATACTCATATTATAGCTGAATCTATTTTTATTAATATCTAAAAAGCTTTAATACTATTGCTTCAATTTATGTTGCCAAAATCTGATTTGTATAAAACTTACAAAATATTAAAAATGGATATTTAGAATGCTATGCAATATGAAAAAAAAGTTGCACTTATAGAAAATTATATAGCTCATTTGAACCATGTACAAAAAGAATATAATTACTATAATAACAACATAACAACTGCAATTAATAATAGTAAATATAATTTAAACCTAGTAAATCTTCTATATATTTAAAACTTTTAATAATAGTGCACATATTGCATATGACTGAGCTTAGAATGTTCAAATTTTTTACTCACTACAGCAAATTGGAGCTTTGTTTTTTAAAGTTTTTAGAAAAGCATATTTATTTTGCATTTGTAATATAAGCAACTATTCTAATATACAACAAATAAATTATATAATTAATGAGGCTGAGATGCCTGATGATAGCAAACAAGAAAAAGAAGTAAATTGTACTTTAAGTTTGGTGTAGCATGCAATCCAAAAATATAACCATGGAAAAATAAAATTAATTATTATATATGATAATTGCACAGGTCAAAATAAGAATAATTATTTATAATTCTTTTATTTATAGTTAATTAATTATGATATATATAACAAAGTTGAATTAAATTTTATAATATCTGGACATATAAAATTTATTTGTAATAGTTGTTTTGATTTAATTAAAATTCTTTATTAAAAAGTAAAATAAATACTATGAATGATGTTGTTTCAATTATTAATCATTCTATCATGAATAATTTTAATATTGCTTAGCACTATTTGGATGATGAAGGTTTTTAGTATTATAATTTTAAACAATATTTTGAACTATTTAAGAAACTACCTAATATCTACAAGTATCATTATTTTAATTTTACTTTACAAAACCTTGGAGTAGTTTTTTATAAAGATAAAATTGAAGATAAGTACAAAAATATTACAATTCGATCTTTCATTTTTAATGCTGATATATTACCTTCTATAATTAGTATCAGACTACTTTTTCTAAAAAGGCAAAAGGAATTATATAAGAAAATTGCACCTTATGTAGGTATTTCCTTCTAAGACATTACTTGTCTTAAACCTAATATATTCAAAAAAAATTTATTTAAAACATAAAGTTAAAATTTAAAATTTACTAATTTTAAATTATAAAGATTATTTGTAAAGAGTTTTTTTTAATTATATAAAAATTTTTTTATAAATATAAAACATGACTGCATAATAATATTTTCAATAAAAAAGGATTTAAATATTGTAATAGTGATAATACAAAGAAAATTTTTAAAGATATCTAAATGATAATTTTACTATATAAAAAAACTTTTTTTATTAAACGAATTATACTTTAATTACTAATTAAATATGTTTACTGTATTATTTAAATATTGCAATAGTAGAAAATATGATGACCTAGTGAAGTGTTAGGTTGTCAACCCCTCAAGTGGTAGGTTGGGTGTTCAAATCCTATCGATGGCAAAAATTTAGATAATTGCCTATATAATATTTGTATTATGACAACTGTTACTAATGATTAGGTTAGAATACCTGTAATAGTGGTCACACCAGTATAACTGGCAGGTTATAGGGCATCTGTGCAATGTTAGAGTTATACAGAAAAATGCAAACCAACAAATCAGACAGTGCAAACACTAGATAAGTCCTTGTGGCCATGTAAATCTGTTGAAATTGGGTAACAAGAAGTTCATTTGAGAAGACTCAAGTAAAGAGGTAGCTGGATCTTCAACAGCCTTACTGTAAAGGCTAGTCGGCAAAACAGATACCAAGGTCTAGTACCCAGCTATAGTAGCCTAATAGGCAAGAACCTCCAGATTGAGAGTTTTGAAGGTACTACCAACTAGGCTGCTAAAATGAACTAGAGAAAAAGAATATTGGGCTGACCTGATATACTGATAGACTGATTGTAGTCCTACATAGGCTATTTGAATTGTGGGTTTGGTAA